GTGCGTTCTGGCTACTAGGTACGACATATATATATATATATATATATATATATATATATATATATATATATATATATATATATATATATATATATATATATACACACACATACATACAACTACCCATTTCATTATGTTTGAGGTCAATTTTTTTTATTGGAGCTAAAATTAACGTAGATATATGACCGAACCTAACCAACCCTACCTAACCTATATATATATATATATATATATATATATATATATATATATATATATATATATATATATATATATATTGTCAATTTAAGGCTCAGCATGCCTAACGACGAGTTTCTAAAAAAAAAACATTTACAAAGGAAAGCCCCGTTTTCGTTTCCCAGCTGGTTTTAAAGCCGGATCCTAGCGTTTGTTTTATTATAGGATTTATAATGTATTTAATGCTAATCAGAATTCATATTTGGCACTGTGAAGTTGGAACCCACCTGTTACTCCTAACTATAATTTTGTTGGTGCTAAACCCGGTCCCACAAGATCATGGTGCCAAGCCCGGTCCCACAAGATCTTGGTGCCAAGCCCGGCCCCACAATCACACGGTAAACAGAGGGGCCATGACTCTTCAGTCCCCTGCCATTACATATAAGAAATATCGCGGGGAAAAACAGTAGAAGCTCTCAAGAGAACGTTACACATTTGTGCTGGAGTTATCGGATCAGTCTGGTTGTGATGGCTCTGTATTTAGTCAAACAACTTCATAGACCAGGCAGTCACCAAGGACGGCTGGCCCCATGCCAGACTGTGATAAGAGAATGATTATCGAAAACGTCTACAGATCAACAAGGTAATCTACAGATAAACCACGGTGTCATACCCGGTACATTAGCACTCAAAATGTACTCTCTGACAAGGAAACGAGAGGTAACATCTTCAGACTCCTTCTGAAGATGTATTAATATACGAAAGTACTTGAGGAAATTCCGGTTTCAATTTTCCTCCGTGGTCTGACACTGTCACATTCTTAATCACGTGTTTATTTTTCGTAATTTACACACGTAACATATAATGTATACATGGAAGATACTTGAAGACTGGGTCCCAACTATAGGTGCAGAGAACACCTATACAACTATAGGTGCCCATTGTGCACAATATCCAAGAGCAACGCCGAATAAGTGTTGATAACGTTGATGCTACGTTGAACCAACTCCGTCTGAATATTGTGCCCAGTTTGTGAGTGAACCTCAGCGGCTCACAGCTCTTCAACCTCCTTTCATAAAGTACAAATATTGCCGGAACAAAAGTGGATATTTTTCAGTAGATACTTGGGCATATTCTTGCAGGAAGTGCCGGGTCTGGTAGTTACAGGACCTGTGGACCGCTGCAAGCAGTCTAACGAAGCAAGTTATCACCAAACAAGCCTAGCCTCAAGTCGGACTTGGATAATAGGGGAAAACTCGAACCCGACTACAGTATATCATACCCGGAATAAACCACGGTGCCATACTTGGTCCTCACGAGACCACGGTGCCATACTTGGTCCTCACGAGACCACGGTGCCATGCCGATTAGAAGGGACAGCCGTGTTCAACACTCATGTTAGCAAACATATATATATATTTGTTATGGTATGAACATGAAGGTAAATAATCGGGTGATGCATTTCATAGTTCGTCAAGCAGGGATACGTGACTTTACCTTGGCTAACCTCTCCCCCTTCCCATAGCCTTCAACTGTATGATAGTGTGGTCATAGGGGTTCTCGTGCGCTAATAAACCACTGCTCTTGATTAGGAATCAAAGAAGCATCAAATTCTTAACTTTACGTTCATTAGGAAACATTGTGAAATAAAACATTTTTCCCAAGACGCTTTAATTTTAAGAATAAATGTAATTGGTTACATTTTTTCCGCCCAGTCCAGCTACTGCTAGAAAGTATAACAGTTACAATGGGACAGTCCCAAGGAAGGCTGCCTCGGGGTTCCAGGGAGTACTTGTCCATGGGGAAAATCCCGTCTCTTATCTGAAGTGTTTCACGTACTAGGGGCGTCCCACCGGCTCCTTCCTAGACACATGCCCGACGCCCAACATACGTGAACCTTAAGTAATACCATCGCAGGTCTGGGCTTTCATGATGTCTGGTGGTGTGGAAATTTACCCGTGTGTTAACGATTACGGGTTAATATAGTGATATTGGTTTCCCGCCATGAGGTTGCAGATGTGTTTTCTGCTGAGCTCTTTCTGCCTCTTTTGCTGATGGAGTGACATTTGTATATTGCCAATCTAGGGAGGACCTTCTCTTTTTATTGATTTATATATACGAGAGTTTTTACATTATTGGAAAGCTACTAGCACATTTCGGGCAGGTCCTTAAGGGGGCATAATTTTCAAATATCCAATAAATGAAAACTAGGTCGATTTCAAACAAACTTTTTTGACTAGTTGTATATAAAAAGGGCTTCATCTGGCCCGAGTCTCAGCATCGTAGCATAAATAGGAAGGGAGAAAAAATATTTAATTATATGTCAACAATTTTCCAAAATGTTCAAAAATTAACATCAAACACAAGTGTCAACTGAAATCATGTCTATGACTCTCAGCTATCACAATAGCATATAATAAAAAAAAATAATTAGTTTTATCCCCCCAAAATTTAGTTAACAAAAAAAAAAAAAATTTCCTAACTTTTTTCTTGTTTGTTTTATTAAATATGTTTATCGAGCGATTTGTATGAAACTTATACACCTGACTGCACGTAAGCCTATCTGTAAGGGTGCCAAATCTGGAGGAAATTGGTTGATGTCAACCTCAGCCACAGATGGCAGCACCTTAGACTTCATTTTTTAATTACTTTTCAAGTAACAAACGAAACGTCTACTTTTTCATTTTTTATTCAATTTACACAAAACTTAAACCTTATAAGTAGAGTTTATGTCTCTACAATTGGTAAGAAGTATTTTTTCCTAAGTTCATTTATTGATTTGATAAATACTGTAGTAATAAACGTGATACATTTGCATAATTTTGGGGGGAACTTTGACTATTTGTATTAGTAAAACTAAACATATTTTGGAAAATCCGATCATACCAATCCTTAATTATATGCTAATGAGATAGAAGTGTCATAGAAATGATTTAATTTGAAACGTGTGGTTGTAGAATTTTTATGAAAATGTGTAAAATTTGTTGAAAAAATCTCACTTTCTATTTAGGCTGCGATACTGACACTTGGAACAGTTGCAGCCCTTTTCATATAGAACTAGTCAAAAAAAAGTTTGATTGCAATTGAACATCTTTTAATATCCTAGTTATATGCCCCCCCTTAATCCTAATTTTCCCCTAGAATACGACCAGCCAAATCGTTTAACCAGGTATATAATTAGCTACCCAGGAGCTAACTCACTCCTGGGTACCCACTCACTGCTATGTGAACAAGGGCATTAGGCGTTAGGAAATGCACCCAACCATTTCTGTCCCCCCCAGTATGAGAAACGAGTCCTGTACTTGGTCCAGGAATTGTTCCTCTTTCAATTGTGATGTGAGATTTATGCAATCTATTGTCTCAGTTTAAGTCCCCTATTACAAGAGCTTAGGCTTCAGCTGAGGTATACAAGTATATTACATTATAAAGGCCTCTTGTCCTCAACAAAATTAATTAAATACAATGTATTATTTACATTTTTTAATACCAATAACTTACATAAATTGTTCCTACCAGTAACTGTAAAATATTTGTAAATTTCTTTTAGAGTAATTATTACTAAACTGAAGAAAAGTCCCATCATTCTACTTCACTCTTCAGTGACAACACTGAAATCCGTCAGCAAAATATTCTTAAAGTTGATCACTTCCGGAATTGCATGAACACTAAACTTTTTCAAATCACTCGAGCATCTGCATCAATAATGGGCGACAGTGTTTGCCATTGTCAGCAGAGAGGAAGTCTGTACAGGATTTAGACTTACTGAGTGAGGCCAAGTACTTTACTGAGTTTTCCCAGGATGCAACCCATAGCAATTGCCTAACTACTGGATATCAATTAACTTAGGGTTGCCATATTTGAACAGTCAAAATCCAGGACACCTCCACTAACAGTCCCACAACCCTCCGTGCCCCAGTCAAACACACACTTTGGGCCTTATATATATAATATATATATATAATTTTTTTAAATGATGGAAGCTGAAACTCGGGACTTTGAGAATTTTTTAAATTCTTCCCGGACGCAAAAGTTGACACCTGAAGCCAGGACATGTCCAGGAAAATACGGACATATGGCAACCCAAAATTAATTGTTAAGTGAAGAGGCATAAGGTGAAAGGAAATGTACTCAACCATCTATATCCTACCATGGGAATCGAACACGAGACCCTCGTTGAGAGCCAATGACAAACCACTGCACTATGGGACCCTATAGACTAACTTAACAGGCCCACTTACCTTTGGCATAATCATTGACAGAAAAATTGATCACTATCCCACCTTTGTCATCACAAACATTTGTATAACACTACTAGATACCGAGCAACTTATATTTAGGTTACACAATAAAACCGCTAAGCTCCTACAACACACTGTTCTCTCCATGTGAAAAAATCATATAACTTAACAATCTATGGCTTATATATGACATAATTAAAACAGAAGCTTGGTCGAGTTTACCTAGTGTTGGGCGAGTGATGGTATACCCAGTGTTGGGCGAGTGATGAGATACCCAGAGTTGGGCGAGTGATGGTATACCCAGTGTTGGGCGAGTGATGGTATACCATCACTCGCCTGGGTATACCATACCCAGTTTAACAGGATACTCAGGGTTAATAATGGATGGGATTTTGAACGTGCCCTAATGGATATGCTAATAACATTACGATATTTAAAGCAAGCCATCCAAGGGAACATGAGTGCATCGTTTTGCCCATTTCATTTAAATGACAACATGAAGACACATGCAAATATTAACACGTAACAGTTATACTGTATATGTTACAAAAAATACACAGCTTCATTAGTTTAAAGCCTACTTACTAGGTGAAGATATGTCTCCATTCATTCTCGCCGTTCGTGTGTGAACTGACCTCCGAGAGACCACCCTACCACAGTCCTCCTCCTCTACCATTGTTTACAAACTGCCTCACATGTGATAGATCGATGCCATATTGTCTGTAGCAGTCTTCGTACAGTTATTTGGCAAAAAAATTAGTTAATTACCCATACTATTGCAACAAGTATATATATTATTTACATGACTGACAGTACGGAAGTAATAATATATAATTAAACGTGCTTTTATTTAGCGTTATTTATTTTAATGCATATGTATCGTACGTCTCACAGGCTGCCTATAATGACGTTTTTCATGTTTCATAGATGATGCTTTTATCTTTATATATTCTGAAGGATTTAAATATTGTATTTAATATACTTTGTAAAAGAATTTTGTTACATATAAATAACATATTTAAATGAAATGTTTATACAAGTCTCTATAAGAATTTATAATTCTCTATAGATTTAAACAAAATATTAAAAGGACGTTAAGAGGCCGAGATCCCAAGAGAATCGACACGTTCATAAGAATAGTCATGCAGTGTGTTTTATACAAACCACTAATTTAATTTTGATTTTACTCATAGCATGCACACTTAAGTACATCATTATAAATAAAGGCGTAAGTATCCTATTTTCCGTTATCTGGATAAATAAATAAATAACTAGCTGTACAAGTTCCAGAAGGCAATAGTGTGACGTCATGAGACGACACAATATTGACCAATCACAGACACCACTGTTCAACAGGAGGTTCGTGTAGGAACGCCCATTATAAACATAACTTATATATGTGAATACTGGAATTATAACAGTTAATAAATATTTTTTTTAGTAGAGAATACAAACATCATGATCCATGTAAGATTTGGGTGTTACTTAAAAATAAAAATATCAACTATTTATTTTCCACAGTTGGGTATCTTCGTCCATCACATAACGCCATGTTGTTTTTCCTCGACATGAAGCGGGAAGAGGCTGAAATTTGCCAAAATAATGGACCGTTTCCACGAATCTAGTGAGGTTTGTCAGTCTAATTTGCATTCACAAAATTCTTAGAATTTCATAGATAAGAAATTCGTGGTGGGAGGGATATTTTGAGTGTCGGCCGAGGTGATCACAGTGTGGAAAATATCGACATGTTTTCATTCGTGGACTGCGTCGCAGTTGGCGTCGGGGGGCCGCTGCTGGCGCCAACTTTAAACTCCTACTATTTGCTCTATACTCCATTTTATGATTATGACACGCACAGGAATAAATGCTAAGGGTTTTGAAATACCCTTGGGCTGTTGTGTAATAAACCTCTGCAGTTTTTCGATAAAGTAAATGATTGACAAAGTTGAGGATGGTGAGGGAAGAGGACAGGTGCCTGGCGTATTACACCACTAACACCAACACGTGTCACTACTGGTGCTCACTAGTGTGTATGGGTGACAGTACACGCACGCCTAAGCCCAGTTTAAATGTACAGTGTTAAGTACAAGACAAGGTTAAAGAGAAAACATGGGTAATGTGAAGCTAATAGACACTGAAGACTCGAGCTCTCACTTCAAGACGAACTAAATAGGGATTTGAAATGGTCAAAAGACTGGTTGATACAGTTTAATGCTGACAAATGTAAGGTTTTGAGGCTAGGTGATAATGATTGAGCTACAAGATACGAGTTAGATGGTGTTGAGATTGTGAAAGGGATCTGGGAGTTAAGACTAGTAAGAATTTAAAACCAAAAAGTCAATGCATAAATGTTCATAATAAAGCAAATAGGACACAGATTTATTTATCGAAGCATTAGTAATAAGACACCTGGTGTTCTTCAGCTATATCTTGCTCTTCTTAGGGACCCATTCAAATTATGCAGTTCAGTTTTGATCGCTATTCTATAGAATTGCTATAAATTTACTAGAACGTGTCCAGTGTAGGATGACAAAGTTAATCCCACAAATTAGAAACCTGTCATATGAAGAAAGATTGACAAAGCTTAAATTACATTCTTAAATTACAAAGAAAGGCAAAGAATTAGGGGTGACATGACATTGCCTGAAATGTTGTGCGTATTAATGGCTTTAGGCATAGTATGTATTAGCTCTATCTAGAAATCCAACATTCTGTTAGTAACTCATTTTGAATGTACTTTTACCTGAATGCACTTTATAGATATTTTACCTAAATAAACATTACCTGAAGAACCTTATAGGTAGAAAGAGAGCTTGGTATAAAAGGTACAAATGGGGAAGTCATTTTAAAACAAAACTTTGTCCACCTGGTTAGAAATGTTTAAAAAAAAAAAAAAAAAAAGAGATAAAGAGAGCGAAAAGAAACTATGAAGTTTGCCTAGCAAGGTAAGCAAAGACAAACCCTAAAGGGTTTTTTCTGTTACATCAAACATAGATTAGGGAAAGGATAGGTCCATTAAAAACTGAAACAGGCTAGATAACTGATAATGACGAAGAGATGAGTAGTATTTTTAATAAATATTTTATCCCTTTACTAAAGAGGAACTTAACATATACCTTCAGCCAAACAAGTCTGTTAGTGGGGAAGAGGACAGGTTGACTAGTTTAGCAGTTACCAGGGAGGATGTTATTAAACAAATAGTGAAACTAGCCAAACAAATCCCCAGTGTCGGACGAAGTGTTTGCCAGGGTGCTTAAAGAATGCAAAGAGGAGTTTTGCGAGCCGTTGTCTACCATATTTAATAAATCATTAAGAGTTGGGCAGAGTGCCAGAGTCGTGGAAGGTTGCTAATGTCGTACCAGTTATCAAGAAAGGAGATAGACAAAACTATATACCACAAGAAAGATGCTATACTTTGGATGTTCTATAATAATATAAGGGGCTTTGATCCTTATATTTTTATAGAACTTTGCTTCTAGTAGAAAGTAATAGTAATTAATTGATTGTCTAGTAATTGCTTCTAGTTCTTTGTATATAGAACAAATTATAGAACTTTGCTTATTATAGAGGGGCTTTGCTTTTTTGGTATAGAATAAAACAAAATTGTGCATGATTTCTGATTGGTGTCCATATTGTCGAATGCTTTATCAGTTTGTAAACTGCCCATCCTAACTGCATCTTGTGATTCTATCCTAGCAATATAATTTAAATATTGACTACAAAAGCTTTCGCGTAATCTTTTAATATGCTAATTTTTAAAGGATAAATTATAATTTAAGGTTTGAAATGTAACAAAATTATTAGGTTAGCATTCATGCCTCTTTTAAGGTAAATATTCTAGTCATCATTTTTTAGATAAACAAAGCAAAATAAGATCTTGAGTTTATAGTAGGATTTTAACATCTAGATTTTAGAAGTTTCTTTAAAAGGTTTTTGACAAAACGGTTAGATAGAATTTAACATTTATCTAAACTTGAAGAATTATTCCAGTCGTGGCTAATGAGGCTATTAATTTGTTATGTCTTAATAATAAAGTTAGTTAAAATGTATCTTTTTAAGTTAAAATTTGTTACCTATACTATAATTTTAGTTAAAATATATACTGTATGTAGAATCATGAGGTTAATTTTAGATTTTTTTTTTAAATACAAATAAGTGTTTCACTCTACTGTAATAAGACTTTTAAGTTTGGTTGATTTTACTTAAACTGGCCAATAATTTTAGTAGAAGATGTTTCATTCATTAACTTGCAACTAAGTTACATATGAACAAGAATAAAGGACACCAGGCCTATTGGGCCAAACAAGGTTATGTACAGAGAAGTATGGCAAAAGTTAATCATTGTAATTAGAAATCTTCCATATAAAGGAGGAATAATAATAATAATAATTGTATTTAAGCAAAAGTACATAATGTACATGCAAAATACAGCACAAGAAGAATGTTGTATTTCTAGGTAAGGTAAGCACTATGCCTAAAGCCATTAATACAGCATTTTGGGCATGATGTTGACAAAAAAATGAAAACTAAAGCCAACAATAATTACATGGTGATTGGTACAGCAGAAATTGCAACAAAACAGTAGATAGTAACTTTCACTAAACAGAAGGAATACAATTTTTTTTTATGTAATTTTCACATTTTTAATTTTAATTATGAAAGTATATACAGTAATAAGAGACAAGATTTAAGTAGACAAATGGATGAAAAATTATAACAAAGGAGATCTTTCTACCTCCCCAGGGTATCACTTGAGCATGGAGGAATTAGGTGATCAATGTGCCAGCTATATAATACCTAGCAACAATAAACATGAATAACAGTGTTATTATCCACATTTATTGTGGTTAGCCATTTATATTTTCCTCAGTTTCCTTTATTATTATGCTCATATGTCAGTTACACTATTTTTCACTCTCCTGTTATTAAAGTAATGATTTTATATTGTCCAAGTACAGTGGTACCTCAGCTTACGAATTTAATCCATTCCCAGAGACGGCTCGTAAGCCAAATATTCATAAAATGAAGCGAAGTTCCCCATAAGAAATAATGTAAATTGAATTAATCCGTTCCAGACTCCCCAAAAAATTAACTTCAAAGTAAATTTATACCTAATTCACCCAAATCTTCAGTACTAAAGTATGTAAATGTTATTACAGTACTTACCTTTACTGCTGACTCTTGTTGGTGTATGGAAGACAGTGAGGAGGGGGGAAGAGGAGAGGTGTTAGTGTTTGGAAGAGGAGTCCCTTGCAAATCTTTAAATTCGTCAATAAATCTTTCAGCCGCTGGTTTGTCTGAGCTGGCAGCCTCCCCATGCCTCACAACACTATTAATACCACTTCTTTTTCTAAATTTCTCAAACCATCCTCTGCTTGCCCTTAAACTCTTTTGTATCTGCATCACTTATTTCAGGGGGTTTCTTTAAAAGATCTTCGTGCAAGCACTTGCCTTGCTTTCTCACAAATGATGGCCTCTGAAATGCTATCACCTGCTAACTCCTTGTTGTGTATCCAAATTAATAACAACTTTTCAACATCCTCAAGTGTTTGTGTTCTTTGTTTTATCATTGTTTATACACCTTTTGCCACTTTAGCACTCATAATGTCCTTTTTCTTAGCAAGTACAGTACAGTGCATATCGTTGACATAGATTTGCTGTACTGCCTAGCTAGTTCAACAACCCATGTACCATTTTCATGTTTACGAATGATATCTTGTTTTTCCTCTATGGTCATTCTCACATGTGTTTTCTTGGCTTGAACCTTACCAGTAGCTTTCTTGGTAACCATGGGAGATATATAATAACAACTTTTATGATCAAATACCCCAAAATCTGAAAAAAAACTAATCCTTTACAAAGAATTCAGGCGTGATTGTCACTTGGTGGGAGGCACTGGTAAACTAAGGCGCGATCACCATGCCACCACGCGCTAGGTCAGCCATACGGGTATCAACAGACTGCGTTTCCCGAGGCAAAACCGTAACCCAGTTCGTATTTTACGAAGAAATTGGACTCGTAACCCGAAAAGTTCGTAAATAGGGGCATTCGTAAGCTGAGGTGTCACTGTATACATATTTTAGTTGTGTGTATTTACTATGTATTTTTTTAAGATAAATCTACAATATATTATTTAAGGCATTTAATTCATATTGTGGTTATATCTTCTTTCACATATTTTGCAGGCTGTTAATGCCTCATCTATTGTATCTGGAAACTTATCTGGAAGTGTTGATGCAGCAATAGAAAGACCTGTCCTGCTGGATGGCCAAGTGGTTATGTCAGCCCCAAAGGGAGTCATAGAGGTTGATTCACAGATGATCATGGATGGTTCACAAGCTGTGGTGATGGAAAGCACCCAGATGGTTATTGAAGGTTCACAGGTAGTTATGAAAGGCTCGCAGGTAGTGATGGAAGATACCACAACCATTATGGATAGTTCCCAAGTTATGATGGAAGATACTACAGAATTTGAGCGTTCAGTTTTGCATAACCCTCCATGTCATAATAGTGGCATAAGTGATACTATTATTGTTAAAGAAGAAGACTTGCAGGATAGTCGGTATGGCCACAATGATCAAATACTGGGACTGGCACATGATAGTTCAGTGTCAGGTATTCCTGGAGAGGATGAGATTGGTAATGTCATCACAGATGAAAGTGCACTGGAGACTAGCCAAGAAGGTGAGATGCTACTTCGCAATTTGGTGAATGAGACTTTCCACTCCTCTCCAAGTACTACTCATGGTCCTGACAACATCATTGTTACCACCAGCACAATTACCACCAACCCTGTTCAGGGTATGCAACGTTCACTAACATCCTCAAATGTAATACAAGGGATGGCCATGAACAACATTGCAGGAATACCTGGCAGTTTATCAACTAACACTCCAACCAGAATAATGGTGCAAACCAATCAGGGTTCTCCTGTTAAAGCTAATGCAGGACACTTTCTTATTCAAGTGGGTGGTACTCCAGTTAGTGTAGCCCAATCACAAGTAGTAACATTAGGAAATAAGAACCATATTGTTATTCGAGCAGGAACCAATCCTCCAGGTCAAAATCCCGTCTGTGATGAGGAATTTGATAGCTCAGGGCAAAGTAATATATTTAAAGTTATCATACCTGAAGGCACTACCAAATACACAAAGACGGCTTCAGTATCAATAGGACAAAGTGAACCAGTGAGGAAGCATGTCCAAATTAATCTCTCAGACGGAACTACAAAGAAACAAGCAAGATATGTCTCGCACACTTCTCAGACACAAGGGGGATATGAAGAGGAGGATATCAGAACTGATGGAGCCACTGATAACAAGAGACTTTATGAATGTCCAACATGCAACAGTAAATTCATGAGGCCATTGTACTTAAGGTATGTTTTCTTGGAGTACAGTAATATTTTGTAAATATTTTTATTAGTATATATCTTTGGAGTATAAGCTTGATATATATACATACACTATACTACATTGGTTCACAAGCAGTAGGTGCTAGAAGATAGCTGAATGGATTTTTTCCTTTGAGGGATGATTGAAAAGTGATAATGTAGGCTTAATTTTTGTTCAGAGAAATTTCCTGGGCTTGAGGGGTTTGCTTGAGTGTGGTGACTAGAATCAGGAGACCCTATGTTTATTGGGTGCTGTTGGGTGTAGTGTCTTGCTGGAGTATTGAAACGTTTGTGAGAATGCCAATTGATAGTCCTTGGGTTGCCAGTTTTTTTTAATGAGCTTTCTGAAAGTCTTCTTGTGCTTTAATGAGTATTCTGTCTAGCATCAGTATGGCTCGGCAGGGACAGTTTTGAATAAATAGCTGCTGCATAGATGCAGACTGTCAACAGTTTAAATTTGTCCTGGGATACCAGAAGGTTCTTTGCCTTAAGTAGCAATTGAGTGATTTGCTCAGATAGGTGCTTTTCATTTTGCTTAAAACATGATTGCTGTAGTCATATTTGTTCTTATTTTTCAGAAAGCATATGAGAAGCTGTAAAAAGGAGGAAGTGAAGGTGGAGAAAACACCCCTTTATATGTGTTCATTCTGCAAGATGACATTCAAGACTCGACCGCAGATATCTCAGCACTTTTTGAAATGCTATCATAGTCCGTATCGTAAAAAGACAACTCCAGTCAAGGTTAGCAGCTTGCGATGATGTTCAAAAATAGCTCTTGCTCAATGTACAGTATGATAAGAGTAGCACATAATGAAAGTGAAACTGCTATATACAAGACAACTCTTTATTAGGTATCACAGGTTGGGGATAGGTTATGGTTTTGTCCAATGAAATCACAAGAACATGATGTATCTGAGAAAAATTGAGGTTATGCAATGGAAGCAAACTTGCATCCCTGGATTTCATAGTCACACACACTACTGAGTGAACTGTGGTTCACTCAGTAGTGCGTGTGGCCGGGAAGTCCCACATTGCGAGTTCAATTGCATTGTAGTACCTGTACCTCAATATGTTTTTATTTTATTTTCTGACAGCTTCCTTTTTAATGTCTTGAACTAAGTTTGAGTAAAAGAGTTTGTTTTCTATTGAAATTGAGTCTACTATATTTATCTATATTTCTTATTATAAATACATTATATCTGTATTATATACTGTATTTTCAAATGCATGGCCATATCTGGAGAAAGGCTCATCAAGTTCACTAGACATTGACGCTATAATGGACTTTCATTCGTATATATACAGTAATTCTGTATACTGGAAAGCTGAATGCAACAAGAGTTAATACTGGTCATGCAGTATGAACCTTGCATTCAATTGCAATGGAAAACTTATGAAAAATATTTGGTTGAGTGAGCTCATGTATTCACTAGCCCAGAATTCAGTACTGAAAAGCTTAAAATAAAATGTATAAGTTTAAGCGATTTTATAGATAACCCGTCCTCTCGCATAGTAGATCACATTTTTAACAGCACCAACCACTGTTAAGAATGTGACTGACATATGTAAAAATTAAAGCTCCGAGTTCATATGTATCTGGATAGGTAAAACAGTTGCATTTTAATGGAGTGGCAAATTGAGGAAATGGGCTGTTTATAGACAACTTACTTATTATGGTACAGATTTACTATGTTCAGTTTTGGATTGCCTTCTTGAACAAATCCACAAGGGCCATGACGAGGGTTCGAACCTACGTCCAAGAGGATCCCAGACGCTGCCTTAATTGACTGGGCTACAACACGGTTAAACCCTTGTCACAACCTTTGTGGATTTGTTCATTTGATGCATCGTGCTATTGTGATTTCTGTGTGTAATTGCCCTCTTTTTATTAGGAGTGATAGTGTTTTATCAGTTTTTCCTAGCAATGAACTCCAACAGTAGATGAACATTGACAGTGAAATCTTATCAAATACCTGTGTGGATTTATTTATTTAGTATTTGTTATAAATTTCTATTTTCCAGAGAAAGGGTGATGACGTGGAAGCCGAGACAGTACCTGCTAAGAGAGGGAAGATGGAGTCGCTTGAAATTGACCCGGCACTTGAACAGGCTGTACAATTTAGGTGTCAAGTGAGTTATCATTAACTTTTACATTATTTAATATTCCCCTGTCTTTGTTTTAGGACATTAACAGATGTATGTACTATATATAAGTGATCATTTAATTTAAATGACTGGAGTTTGTAATTATTCATAGGGTTTTGGTGTGCTAATTGGCATCTTTTGTATAGAAAATTGTATAGTATTCTTTTAAACAATAACTCTGCAAGCATTTTGTTTATAAAATGGTGTTTTAATATAAATTAATATTCAGTGTTATAATTTTGTATGATTATTTATGTGGACTCGTTATTTATAGGATTGTGATCGTACCTTCAGCAAGGAGCGCCAGTATTCCAGTCATATTAAAAAATGTACCAAATTCTCTGTGCATGACCTCTCTGGAGCAAGAGTGGAGGTGAAGGGTGAAGACGAGGAGGAAGAAGAACAAGACTCTCCGGAAGATCCATTTGCTGACCCAGATCCCTTGCCTCCACCACCAAGGAGAGGTCGTGGACCTGGCAGGAGAGGGCGACCTCCAGGGAGAGCTGGTAATAGCGCTTCCAGAGGACCAGCTAGAAATCCATCACTACTTTTTGACGGGGGTTAGTACATCAACGAATTGAATTACTGTGCTGTGTTTAGATGTTATAAGTTCATTTTATTTGAAATATTATAGTCTATGCACCTTACCATGCATTTGCAAATGTAAGCATTTCTATAGGGATTCTTCTACTCCGCCTCCTCTGCTTCCCTTACCTGTAGTGTCACCTTTGCAATCTTGATTCATTTATCAATGCTTACATTGCCCTTTCATTGCTTACTGTATTCCCATACATCAAATTAAAATTAAAGTAAAAATACATTTATTTACACAGAATATCTGAGTAAATAAATACATGATGGATAGGATGATGGACAAGCTGCACCTAGTAAACTATCAGGCTATATAACACCAGAGAGAAGTTGATTAAAAAAAAACTAAAACTCTGATTGCATTTGAAAAGTACCTTTCTAGACAGGCACACCATTGCTCTCATAACATGAGGCCCTTCCCAGTCCCATTGCACCTGTTCATGCACTGTAAGGGCAATTTGATAATCTGCCCAATTGCAATGGGGATATTTTCAAAATATTTGTCAGGGTCATATTAGTGCAAGTCAGATACTTGAAAGTTTATTCATTCTCTCCCAAAATTACCTCGACAATGTTATAAATTCCCTGAAAGCTCATCCAAGTTATACTTGGCATCATAGATGTGGCCAGGTAGCAGATCTCTGCAGCTGACGTAACCTAGCAGTTGGAAGCCCTCTTGGCAAGATAGTTTTAGGGAGACACAAGGGGTTCTCTCAGAAAGCTGCTGCTTATTGGATTTTCTGCAATTCTTTACAGTATTAGGCTTTTGGAAATTTTAGATATCTTGAGAATGGTTCACACTTGTACTCAATATTTTTAATGGGATGGGAATGACTTTATTAGCTATAAATGGAAATCATGGAATGAATGTCATCATTCCTGAAACCAGAATAATGTTTTGGAATGTTACTTCATGTGTTCATTCTATTCCTGATATCCAAGAGTCTACTATTTTGACAAGTTTGTAACCCCCTTTTTTATGTAGTGCTTTGTGATTTAACATTATGAAAAAACTATGTTTTTCTGCCTTACAATACAATATTGTACTCTGAAATTGTTAGCATTAATGTCCTACTGCTAAAAATAAATTGATTATTTCACTGACATATAGCATTCATGTTTCAGCATATCCTGTAGCCAATTCACGTGGTCTCCTGGTGGCTGATAATGAGGGTTTGGTACGAAGTACAACTGGTTTGGCTCACACTGTACAACTTAGCTTAGAGACAGCAAGTCAAGAAGGACAACCTCAACCGACTGCTTTGGTAGCAGATTCTAAGGTATTTTTTGTAATATTTGTACAGTTATTGTTCTAATTTTCAATGAGAATAAAATGGAAATGTTATTTTCCTTAAATTGGTTAATAGCCTTGGTTAGTGCTACTGTCATCAATTAGAAAATGTTTCATTGGTACAGTAGTTCAGAAACAAAAATGTTTAGATACAATGAAAACATCATATAGGATACTTAATTCCATCTCATGCAGTGCTACTATCCACCATAGATTTTGAAATTATGGGAAACAGAGCTAGGCAGCCTTATTATTGTAATTTAACAAAATCATACTGGCATAATCCCTAAAGAAGCTGTCAGTGAGAATGCAGTACTACAGTGTCAACTGGTGTCACTGATTGATGGGGTAGTTACTCTGCATTGAGTTACTTTTGGGATTTTTCTGAGGGAAGCCCCTTCGGCTCCCCAGAGTTATCCGGCTGATACGGATGTATAATCTTTGGGTATCAGTCAATGTACATGGAGTTCTAGGCCTACCGGGGACCACGAGCCAGAACCTGGCCCCCTCAGAGAGGCGCGAGGAGCAATGGCCTATAGAGACATCTTATATATGGTTTAGAAGTACTCTGAGTCTGCCATCGACTGAGTCGGGCACCCAGAAAGATAGGTGACCCAAAACACACACCCATTCTGGTGAAGAAATACTACCAAACGCCGAACGAGAGGATAGAACTCTCCATGAAGAAAAACGATCAAACGAGCATGACTTCATCTCGTTACCAACGCACCACTGTCTGCGCAAACCCCTTACCCTGAAGGGGAAGAGGGAGCCCCAGACCCCCTGTCAGTTCTTGGCTGATGTCGGTGGGCTTTGGTCCTGTACCTCCAGCTCTGGCTTTTTTTCTCTGTTCATGCTTTGTTGGTATGTGAGCTGGGAGTATATTCACAAGTACTCAGGCTGCATGCACTTAGTCGATGGCAGACATTAGAATGCTCCCAACCACAAGGGGGTTTCTATAGGCCATTGTTCCTTGTGCCTCTCTGAGGGGGCCAGGTTTTGGCTCGTGGTCCCCAGTAGGCAAGAACTCCAAGCACTTTGATGCCAGAAAGTTATATATATCCATTCAGCTTGGATTGCTCTGGGAAGCCTCCAGGACTCGCCCAGAAAATGTCATTTCATTACATTCAATGCTGGTTTTGTTATCATCTTACATTTGTTATTCATTCCCGACATTATTTGTGACACAACATCATTCGTTTTTGTGTTGCTTCCTTTACATAAGTATTTGTACCTCAATGTCATGTGTTAATAAATGCAAAAAAGGTCTGTACTTATTACCCAACAATGTTTGTAGAGCATGAGTTGAACATTAGGTTGAAGCACTCCACCTGCTCCAGGAAAAGGTTTCCTGAAGTTTCTCAACCCATGTTTTATATGTGGAGTGGATGGTGGGTAAGCATTACTGCTTATCCACCCAGTATGTCCTCTTGCAATGGTACAAGCTGGAGCATGGTACAGCACACAGTGCCACACTACATAACTTGCACTTGTACCTGGTGTCCTTCCTTTTACCAGACTTGTAGTAGACATGACACTTCAGACCTTTCTCGATGGGATTTAGGGAATGGTTCAAGTTCCTGTTCAGATGTTTGGGTTTATCCACAATACGAGTGTTTCTCCTAGCACCCAGAGGTCACGACCTCTCCGTAGGGTGCAGTTGCACCTCCACAGATAATACTGATAATGGCTCCAAAGGGCCACCACTTACGGGCTATTCATGCCAGTGCAACCTTTTGGGTGGCTTAATCTTCATCAATCAATCAGTCTTCTCCTAGCAGTAGCACCACAAGGAGTAATCTGAGACCAAGACAGCTGAGTAATCTGTAGTACAAGCCAGCATGTACAGATTTACTCCATACTTATCAAGTTTATTTAGATTATAAACCTTGAAAGCTAGACAGCCCCTCCATGGCATTATGTCACTTGGGCCATTGCAGACAATGGGAAGATGTTGGCGCACATTTTAAAACATGTCCCATAATGATTGGGGGGAAAAAATGGAATTTTAACAAATATTTCAATTTTGGACACAAAATGCGTCCCTCCCGGACATCCGTAGAGTTACTTATGGACGCAATATCCGTCACCGATGGCCAAAAGAGTTAAGGCAATATTGTAAATAAAAGGTATGGGTGTTGGCTAACTAGACAAGTTTCTATGTAGCTTGGATATTTTAGAAGCATGGAATGGAAAGTGAAGTCCTGCTGGTTTGAGTGTATAATTATTATGGTGGAGTGAAAATGTTAATAGAAAAATTAGTAGCTTTTATTCCCTGACAAAAATGCTAAAGGAGGAAAACAGAATTTGAGTGATAACATTAAGCTAATGCTCTTTAATTTATTACATTAAGTTAATGCTCTTGAAACTAAATATGAATGGCAAAACATTTTCTGACAGTCTTTTTAAATGTACAGTAGAAAGATAAAATGAGTAAAAACCATTTTAATACACACCTTAGTAATTAACTTATTAATGTAATTTATTTGTCATATTTTGAACAGGGAGTCAGAGGAAGAGAGAAACCCCCACAAGCCTGGTCTCTAGTATGTGCCCTCTGCCAGAAGATGTTTATTACCAAAGCTGCTCTTGCACACCATGTCATGTCTGAGCATGGTGCTGACCTTCTGCACACACGCAACATTCTGGATGGCAGGGTCAAGAATGACCAGCCTCTCTTTAGGTTAGTGCTTCTAACATTAATGCCATAAAAAACAAAATGTGCATACAATGCAAGGCCACCAAGTAAACCCAAACCCATCGAACCACTGACATGAAGGCCCCAGAGAGCAAAGTCCAACAGATTCCTTTTGACCTCATCTCTGGTAATATCACACTTCTCCAAAGTTACATGGGTTACAGCTTCCTCTGTCAGTACAGGGACTTCTCCTTGCTTTATTATGAAAACCTCCTGGAATCTCTTGAGTTCTTTACACACCTTGTCATTTTCTTCCCTTATCTCGGTTTCATTGCTTGTTCCTTCATTGCTATTTCCCCTCCTAATGTGATTGTGGAGCAGGTTTAATTGGGTCTTGACTTTACTTGTGATGTCATTTTCATAATGTGTGCGTGCTTCTCTCTTCACACTGAGGTTCTCATTCCTGGCCCTCTGGTGTTCTTTTATTTCTGTAGTTTTCCATATTCTTGTACAGAACTCGATTGTTTTGCTTCTTTACATACACGATTGAACCATGGATCCTTCTGCTGCTTTCAATTTTTCTCTTTTTGGGCTGGGATAAACTTGTCTGCAGCTTCATGGCACTTCTGGGGGATGTAGTCTATCATATCTCGTACAGTTTTTCTCCGAGTTCTGTGTCTCATGATATTCCCAGTAGAAATTTCCTGATCTCATCAATAGTTTCCTCTTTGGTAAGCCAGCCTTTTCCTTTATAATTCCTTCATTGGAATGGTTATTCCTACTGCCACCTGGTACTCAAATGTCAGTATGCTGTGGTGACTCATTCCCTTAGGCTGTGTAGACTCACTTTTAGGTCTGGCAGTGTCCCCAGTGTTTGGGTGTCCTCTTTCATTTATCTTTCCGGCCCAGGAAATTGTGATGGAAGACCTTACTTTTAAAAAATAACAAAGTAGCTGTCATAACTGGAAGAAAAATGACAGGCTGAATAACAAGATCCTTTCAAACAAGAGATGCCACACCTATGATGATACTTTTTCAAGTCACTAGTGCTCTCTGAAGTGGAATATTGTTTAATACTAACATCCCCATTCTAAGAGAAATAACTGACCTGGAGTGTGCGCAAAGATCTTTTACTGCTAAAATTCACTTGGGTTACAAACAGCCACATCAAACAACCTAGCTTACCAGACCACCAACCAGGATGCCTGGTCAGAGACTGGGCCATGTGGGACATTGATCTTCAGAATCATTGACAAGTATATGACAGGCACACACCTCGGGTATTAGGATTACCTAGAGGGAAGAAGATAATAATGTGTATATATTCATTGTGTCAAGAATTTAGAATGTGGCCAAAACTTGTTGGATAAGATGCACTTGTATGTGTTGCTACAGTATTTGGCATGAGTACAAATTTATATTTTTAAATTTTTATTGTAAAGGTACTGTATATACATTTTTGAAGTAACTCAAAACCCGTGTTTTAACATTAAATGTGAGGGTTCTAGATAGACAAGGCATTAACAAAGCACTTTTTGAATAACTGTATTGTTTGAAAACTTTATATATATACAGTACATTGCTTTTTAAACCATTTCTGAATCTGAATCATTGGTTTGTCTTATAGTAAGAACTCAGAGTTAAATATTTTATTTTGTCTTTTTTTACAGATGTCCAGTTTGCAGTCTTAATTATCAGACTGAAGACCAGTTCATAGAACACATGGTTCTTCAACACACATCCCGGTTACAGGAAACATTCACTCGTCTTCAGGGGCAGGTACATTACACCTCCATTTTGCCTTTGAGGGAGATAGAAAGAATTAGGAATAGAGTATAATATTATGCATGTGCTCGCATGCACTTGTGTGTGTGTGTGTGTGTGTGTAATATGAGTACTGTATTAATTCACGAGTTAAAATGAGAAATATAATTATGTTTGATTATTCATATAATAATGGGTAATTTTTAATCAGGTTTATTTAATAATGGCCATAGTAAAAGGATAGTTATGCAGGTATTTGGTTTATGCAAACCACAGTTATGAAATTGTAATAACTTGCTTGCCAGGGCATAACAACTAATGTGGTAGTTACTAGACTCATCAGAATATGTTGCCACATAACGTAATAATTGTCTAGGAATGGGTTCAACGTCCAAGAAAAGGGAAATTGAATTAATGAGCTGGTTATAAAAATTTTTAATTTGTTGATAACTAGAAGATTAACACAGCTGACAAGAATACTTCAAAATACACCGCTTTACTCTCAAACCCGACATTTCTTGGTTACATACTGTAGTGAGGGTTTGTACCCTGCTTTTTCTGAATCCTGTCATGTGAATGTTTGGGTAGGCTGCTGCCACACCAGGCAACTTACACGTGCCTTGTGAGGTGCCATGTCTAGTATTAAAGAATGCCAGGAAGCATAAGAATATGGCTAGTACAGTGATTTAACTGCTTAGTGGTGAATCTGTAGAAGTCAAGGTGAACTTTTTATCATTTACATATACAATATTGGCTAATTGATACACAAAGAAGTCACACTAATGTGATATATAATGAGGAAATCAATTGGAGCAATGAGGTGACTCGAACAAGTAATCAGGGTGCTCCCAGCCATGTACCTTACCCCTGTACCACCACATGGTGTAAGTTATACAACCTGGGTTTCCACTGAATCCACAGGAAGTCTGGAAGCCTCTACTGAAGCCATTCCAAGTTTTATGTATAACTCCCATGCATTCTGGTTTGCATGGGCAGTTTGTTCATTTGCCATCGGCTCCTTTTTTCTGGGGAAGAATGAGTCGGTTGACTTCCAGAGGAGTGCTTGGTCATTAATACTTGGTGGACGGCAACTGCCCCAGCATGCCTCTTTCTTCCCCCCCCCCCCCCAAATGAGGGGGCGAGGTGGGGCAAACTAGCGTGTGCTAGTTTTCACAAATTTTAAATCGTTTATTTACATTCTTGGGGAAGTTCTTTTGGCAATTTTGAGGCTTCAGTCTCATTTCTAACCATGCAATAGTCTGTTTTGTTTCTCTAACTTTCTGGGTGCCTTCCTTTAAATTGTGGCAGACATGAATAACTATATAAAAGATTTTCATAGTGCCACTGCTCCCTGCACCTCTCTTAGGGAGCCAGGTTATGGCTCATGGTTCCCTGTAAGCTAATTAAAAATCCTAGACTGATGGCACTGATTCAGTGTAATAGTTTCAGGAACCAACTAGGGCTCACTTAGAAATTGGCGTTTCATTACATTCAGCGCTGGTTTTTTGAGTTTGGTCACTTGGTGCCTTCCTTCCCTAGTGCTTGACCTTTCTATGGATGTCTTGGCAATGGGTTAGGGCTTTGAGCTCTTCAGACTGCTCAGGGGTATTGGTCGCTTCTCTTCATCGGGTGCACAACATGGTTCGGAGTATGCGGCAATGTGACATGCTCTATGGCGCATTCATCTCTCTTCAGGCTCAATGATATGGCTCCATTCTGACTGCTTCCTGGTGATTCATTGCTAGAATCACAGGTATTCATATTAGCATCATTGGTAAAAAACCCAAACAATAATAGTTTAAATCAGTGTATGATGATAACCACATTACCCTGTGAATCATTGTATGACAATAACCACTCTTTTTAGGGTTAAATAAGACACACACACACACACTGGATATAACACTAATGTTTCTTAGAAATACCCTTAGTTCTCAAGAAACTTTTTTATTAACTGCTCGGGCTTTTCGAATCAAGGTAAGTTTTATTGCTGATGTGGGACATAGAGAAAAAGACAGAAAGGGGGAGGTAGTAGTTGTGATAGAGATAAGAGCTTTTAAAATTCAGGAGAAAATGTTACTATGATCAATATTGGAGTTTCTCATACAAGGAGATGGGGTTATCTCTTTGGTCATCTGTAGTGATGAAGCAGCAGTTAGGTTCTCTTGTATTCTAAACAAAAACAAAAAAACAAAAATTATGATTCTCAATATTTCACTCCTATGCAGAATTATCAATATAAGATATTGTATTGACCAGGTTGTATAGCATTCATATTGAAAATCTGTTCTTTTATTGTGTATAAATGTTGAACCTTTGAAAAAGGAAACCATACCCACTTTTAAATTGGTTCATATTCTTATTTTGCAAGAAAGATAAATTTTTAATTGGTTCATATATTTTGCAAGAAATATATTAGGCCTAACTCAATATAAATTTTTCCTTTCATGTTGAATTACACAACAATGATCCATATAACTAAAATATATTGCATCCTTCGATCTTTACTAAGTTAAGTAGCCAGACTGATTTGTAATTACCTGCATGGTAAGTTAAAAAAAATTTTGTTAGAAATTATGCTACAGTATATTTAGTGATGGTCTTGTATTTCTTTTCATCTCCACAGACAGCAACCTACGTGTGCTCCCTTTGTTCCCTTGTACTACTAACCAAAAATCTGTTAGTTGAGCACATGAGTCTGGTTCATTTGGAGGAACTTGAGACACTGGCCCAGGGAGACACACACGTGGAGATTGCATCTAGAGTTCCCAAAAATAACAAACTAAAATCAGCTGTGATGAAAAAAGGGAATGAAGGTATTCATCATGAAGGAAATCGAGGTATGTTTACCGAGTTACTGCCAAATGTATTAACTACTTATTTAATTGCTCATTTGTTTCTCATTCACTATCATTTTGTTCTTTTAGAAGTTTAATGTATTTATTTTTATTCAGCTTTTCAGTTACTGTTTATTATAGCACTATAGATCTATCTAACTTATACATTACTTATCTGCTGTAAGTATTTGGTTGGTTTCTAATATTTAATCCTTCAAGGAGTCTCGATTAATTAGAATTTCAGCAAAATTTCATTTCAGCGTAAATGAATTAACCTTAACACTTTGACGTGCCCCGCCCGCCACCCTTTAACTGTGCGATTTGGGTCCCAGAGTTTCACGGGAGCGCGCGTTAATTCTGAAAAGTGTATACTCTCTTCAACTTTGTCACCTTAATTCTCGTCCTACGAGATTAAATTTGGTATCATTGTGTTCACAATAGAATTCTCTACAGCACTAAATGCATATAAACTCCAAAAGCCCGGCTAACTACCTGCAACAAACAGAGAAAGTGCAAACGAGTTACCTAGGAGCGCGCAAAAGCGATAAAATGTGTTCACTCCTTTCACTCTGGTCACCTCAATTTTCGTCCTAGGTCTTTCATTTTGGTATCAATGGGTTCGCGATAGAATTTTCTAGAGGAACATTAGCATATAAAATAAAAAAACCTGGTTGCGCTCCACCCGCCGACGAGTTGAAGACGGGCCACGTGTTAATCGCGAGTGAGCGCCCAGACGCCTTCTAGCTACACTCCCAATAACTGCCCACAAATGTTTAGTATTTTAGTATATGTAGTATTATAGTTTAGTATTTTTTGTGTACTAGTTGTACATCACATAAGCATTGTAGATAGCCATTTGCACAAAATAGATGGTCATTTTCTTTGTCCATTTGTGAGTTTTCCTTATGAAGTGATAATATTTGATCATTTGGTCAAAGTGATCAACACCTTTCATGTTTGTATTGTAGTCACAGATTGCATTCGGCTTGTTGACAGTTACCAAACAGTCCCCCAAAAATCGGATAAAAACCTGATTTTTGGCAATTATTTTAGTGGATGACGCAATGCTGCGTCATCCCCGAGATTACCGACAGTAAACGGATGACGCAATGCTGCGTCATGCCTGGACTAAAGTGTTAATTGTGAAGAATGCAACTTAAACTTAGTTTAGGGAATGCCTAGATAATTGGTGTGGTGACCTCATCTAAAGTATTTTCTCATTCATTTCTTTCTTAATCTTAGGTGAACTTAATCAAGGTCATTTGAAAATGGAAAATGTTGAAGACTGTGCCTTGGAGTGTGGTTTTTGTGGGGAAGAATTAGCCACTCAGGAAGATATGGTGAGCTATTCTGTGATTTTAATATTTTTCAATTACATTGAATATTGAACAGGCTTAGTCATTTGCAGTATTTAGAGCTTTGTATTGATATATAATTTGTTGATGGTCCATCAATGTTTTAAGAATTGTGATTGATTAGTAATTTTTAAATTGAAGCAGTTGCTAGTTCAGTAAGAAATATTCTATATGAATGTGTTTTGACTCATAATGTGTGGCAATGGATTTGTATGCATGTATACCTATATACCAAGAATGTTTTGTTTCTTGTAGAGTTATTAATTTGGTTGCCAAATGTTTGGAAAAGTGGAAATAAACTGAATACAGTGTGTACATTGTAGTCAACTTTGTGCCGTGAGCAAGCTGGACATGTGGCATCCCAGCCCTAATCTGTCAACACCAGACCTTTTGTCAGCTGTTCACATTGGTTGAGAAAATATTCAAAACTCCACGATCAAGAAAACACACACTAACTTTTTTTCCATGAAATTTAGTATTGTGTGGCACCAAATTTTGTTCAATTAACAACAAATTTCTTTCCACCACTATCACAATATAACTAGCACATTGTTCATCACTAGCACTACAGTTAGTACAAATCTCAATATCAATATTTCATCCCGGTTTGCTTATGGAAACAAATTTACTTCAGTGGACAACGTGAAAATAATTTCTCTCGAAGTACTACCTTGCACCATATACACCAACATATACTCGCTACTAGTAATAAGATCATCCCCTCCTTGTTATTAGAATAGCTAAATTTTTATTGTTATATAATATTCAAGTTAACTACAGTACGCCTAATATAAATTGTGACATTGATATAAACCTACTTTCAGGTTGAACACTACATTGATTGGCATGGAGTAGAAACTGATGAAGATGGCTGCCTTTTGGATTTAGGTATCGATGTGGATATTAGAGTAAAGGACACTAAGAGTCTACTACTGCTTGCTGATGGACGGGTGGATGATAGTGTTCCAGAGAAAACTGTGCTTATTCGCAAAAAGCCTAGACAGAGTTGGCAGTGTAAGGTAAGATTGCATGGGTCTTTGTTTTTGCCTTTTGTCTTTCACCTCTTGTTCACTTGGGCATGTCATGCAGTTTTTCTGCCTTTACAGAAATGTGATTACACATTAGTTCTTGACAGATTACCCCTGTGCTAATTGACTTCCATTCATCCTCTTTCAGACCACTAAAATCGTATCCGCTCTCTTGTTCTTGAACCAGTACTTAATATACATATCAAGTTAAGCCTGATGCTCAAGAAATTGAGCATACACATCTTCACCTCCCACATTATTAGTTATACCTAGTAGGGAAACCTTACAGTTTTGTCAGGTTTATTCTTTTATTTTCTTCCTTTTGGTCTCAGTTTAGTACTGTATTTTGAAGACATCTTGTTGATTTAAACCCAAAATAATAACAATTCGGTCAGTGTATGACTACTGTACGAGTTTATCAATATAGCCACATAATAACTTTTTGTTTTTGTTGCCATGTATGATGCAAAAATAGTTTTTGTTTTGGACATGGTAGGCCAGTGGAAGTCTTGCTTTCCTCTTAAGTATCTGAACTGGACTATAACTTAAAACTACTTGTTATGATCATAGAAATTTAGTTCCTTTTCATTATTGTGCAGTATAGCCCAGTGGCAATCATTTAGATGGAACAAAGATAGTCCAAGGGAATAAATTTTGTATGCTGGAAGAGACAAGCCCAAAGAGCTTTATCACAGTAATGCTATCATCTTTCCTCCAACCCGACCACTCCATCTTTCTCCATATTTGGGTCTACACCAGGAACCTCATTTTCAGGGTTCCTGGCATGGTGCTCATTTGAATGCCCCAGAGGTGACCCTATTGTATTTAGGGACCCAGAATTAGAAGTATTGGTGAACTTCACCTGGGCTAAGTTTGCACCTCCTCTTCCTTACCCTAATGGTGTGGCTTACCCTGCATCTGGTCTCACTCTTCCTCCCACTTGTCACTGCAGTTCTGACTCCGAAGCATCTGAGGGTTTTGGAGTTGGGGCAGGCTGTAGCTCAGTCATCTCTCGGGGTGACCCTATCCACTTTCACAGCGAAGGTAGCTAAGCTGTCTCTTCCCATTGGGGATTCAGAGCCTTCGCTTTCACGGCCATTCACTGGGTCTGATCTTCTTAGGACAACGTCTTTCTGTCCCAGGTGTTGAACATCGATTACCAATCCAAGCCATCCATCATGGCTTGCTTCTAGTGCTGGAAGCACCACGGTTTCATGGTCCGCGGGGCCCTTCAAACCCTTTTTGAACTTCGGTTCTTTCAACAGATGGTATTTTGCTCCAAGGGAAGACTTTTCCTTTCCCACTTTAGACTCATCGTATTTCCAGAGATTCCTGCCGTCTCACATTGCACAAACTGTGGCTCATTCAGACCACTTTCAGTACCTCCTGCAGGATTCAGACCTCATTTTGTTAATCTACCCAGCTTCATTCGAGTCTGCCTTGGCTTATTGGCTGTATGAGTTCCTAAATTCATTCTGGCTGGATGACAACCCTCTCTTTTCCGTGGGGTCTTGGCATGGGCTCAATTGAACTCAACCGCTTGATTGACAGTTATATTGTTTGTGTTTTGGGAAATATCATGTATTGGGGACAGGGAATACTTTACCTTCCTCAGTCATCTAGGATAAAAAAAATATTTTCTTTAACAATATTTTAATGTTAAACTAGTATTTTTGAATTTGTTTAAAGTTAAACTATTATACTGACATTGTTACCTCTATGCTCATGACTAACAGTTTATTAAGCAGTAATTATATTCACAGGAATGTCAACAAGTATTTTCAAAACACTTTGACTTCCTTCGACATGTTCGTGAAGTTTGTACAGAAGTGAGCCAAAGTAACAAGCCTGCTGTCTCCAGAGGGGGTAATTTCAAGTGCCAAGAACCAGGCTGCAGTCATCTCTCATTTTATCAGGTTTGTGTAATGAAAATATTTTGTTGCATTTGCTCCATTACAAAGTAATTTGTTTTATATTTTCTTGTACTGTATGTTTAAAATTTTATTGACTTTCAAGGCCATATTAGTGGTAATCTGGTGTAATTTATATAAATTACTCTGTGTGAATGCCTAAGTGTAGTTGCAGGGTGAGAGCTATTCTCATGGTATGCAGTCATTCCTAATATCTTTGTCATATAACATTTTGATGCTTCAGTGGTTTTGCCATTCACCACACTCGTCTAATTTATTCCAAGCGTCCACAGTTCTATTCGCAAAAGAAAACTTTCTTTTTTCAAAACATATTTTGTATTTTTAGCTTAAATTATGGGCCTCTTGTATCTAAAGTTGCAGTTTTCAAAAATTCCTAGTCAACTTTGTTGTCACAATTTTGTTTGTGGTGATTGTTTATCCTTTTTTCCTTCTATTAAGAGACGATGAGTCACAATAACATGGCTGAAGATATGACCAAATCACACACCAGAAGATGAAGAGACGACATCGTTTCGGTCTGCCCTGGACCATTATCATGTTGATTGTAATAATGGTCACAATTGACATGATAATGGTACAGGACGGACCGAAACATCGTTATCTCTTCATCGTCTGGTGTGGGGTTTGGTCATCATTCCTTCTATAAGTTTGGAAGCCATTTTGTATTATGTCTTTGCATCTTTTCCTTTTCTATTTTGTTGATGTGCTTCTTGAGACAACACAAAAAGGCACTCTGAGGAGAGCACAGGAAGTGTGTTAAGACAATCCCCAAACTCCACCTTAGCACCAGAAAAATGCAACAAGACGATGATGAACAGTTGGAAAACATCCTCACAGCGAGATAATGGGAGACCTCGCAAGACTTCCCCTGCAAGACCCCCCCCATTAAGGTTCAAAAAGTCTAATGCTGTAAGATGTTGTGAATCATTATTATGCAGAGGCTGTGCAAATCCACTCTGTACCACTCCAAACAAGGCCTGTAGAACTCCACTGCTGATGTGACCTAGTAATTGGTACACTCGGTGATAATCTTAAGGAAGCCTCCGAGACTCGCCCAGAAATCAGCATTGCACTACATTCCACACTGGCATTTTGTTCTTTTGACCCTGGTGGGTGTTTTGTCCTTCGGCAGCGGGTGCCTTTTCTGCTGGAAAATGAATCTGCCAGCTTCTGGAACGGTCCTTGGGTTGTCATTGTTTAGTTGGTTTGGCTGGGGGTGCATCTTGTGTGGCGGCTTTTGGCCACTTCCTTCATGCCACCAAATCTGCCTTGGTGGATACTTTGTGGGTCAATCCTGTTTTCTTAGTTTCCTCCTCCCTGGTTTGTCCCTGTTTTTCTTCTCCGTAGGTAGTTAGCTTCAGGGAGTCACAAATATTGAATGAAATGAAACATTAATTATTGGGTGAGCTTTGGTGGCCCCCTGAATTTACCGCTTCCTTGAAGGTCATCAGTTGGAGTCATTTGTGTGTGTGTATCTGCTCCAAAACTGACTGCTAGAGCCAGTAGACAGCATGAGCCCTATCCCCTGTTACCTCCCCACACGAGTGGGAGGGGGGGGGGAAGCAAATGAGCACATGCTTGTTTCAAAAAATTCAAACATTTGTTTGCACTATTGGTGAGTTCATTAGGGGGTTGTGAGGCTTCGTTCTTTTTTAATCCAGCAATGGTTTGTATTGGTTTGCTGACTTTCTGGGTGCCTTTCCTAGTGAGGTGGTAGAGTGTCACCTGCTTCCTTCACCTCATGTGAGAGGGGAAAGTTCTGGCTCGGGTCACCGGTTAAGTAAACTGAAGTCAGTGGCTAATTTAATGTAGTAGTTGGAAGCCATTTCACCGAGATACCTTCAAGGAGCCACTAGGGCTCGCCCAATAATTGGTGTTTCATTACGTTCAACGTTGGTTTCTTCTGAACGGAAGCTTGCTTATTCTTTAGAGCATGACTACTCTATGCTGCCTTCCATATGATAAAACTTAATATGGTGTTGTCACATGTCTATATACAGTATTTCCATAGAGAAAAAACTAATATTGTGGCCCCTGTAGTCCTGGTTTAATTAATATCGCTACATTTATGTTTTAATATTTATTCATAATTACATTTTTTCTATTTATACAGGTGAAACTTCTATTTAAGCATATGGAAGAGGTTCACAAAATTATAGTACCAAGAGAATTCAAGACTTTCAAAAGCCTAGATCTTTTCTACCAATGGCTGACTGGTGAAGAAAAGAAATACAATGTACGCTACATAAGAGATACGACTCGCATTGAGAAGAATGACATGAAGCTCATCCAGATGGTGTGTCACAGATTCCACACGGCTAAGGTTGGTGTTCTGCTTTTCTCTTTTAAGTGTGGACATTCATGGTGTAAAGGCATTTGTTACTTTACTCCATCAAAAAAACTTAAGTTCATTAACACGGTCAGGTCATCCTATAAGTCACTCAACATGGTTTTCCGCTTAATATTCCATCTGTTTTGAATGCAGTTGCAAATTTAATCAAATGATGTCTTGCTGTGTTTGATGCTGAGCTTGTTATGTTTGTATTTTATCATACAATTATGAAGGGTCCTAGATATATTTATAAAATAAGAAACAAGTTACAATTTTAGTGACAAAATTAAATCTTGGAAATGTCACCTTTCCAAGATTCAAAAGGTCAAAAGTGACTGTAATCTAATGCAGTGAATGGTAATAAATGAGAGAAACAGATACTTGGAGCTGTAGAAATTTATATCCATTCTGTAAAAGTTGGAAGTCTCTGCTGAAGGTGGGAATAGATTTCATAATGTTAGGAAAGATTGTAAGCCTAGCTGATAATGATATATAAGGCAAAATAAGTACAGTAGGAGTTATTTGACAAGATATGTTTGTTGATATCAGTATCATTGATGCCTGGAACTATTAGATTATCAAGACATGGAGTTTGACCCTGAGAACAGTCGTAGTCATGGGATATGTGAGACCAAAGGTTAGTGATATATAGTCTTTAGTGTGAGTTTCAGTTAAAGTTGCAAACATTGCATTTATCATTTATGGGGGCCTGACAGCTGAGTGGACAGCGCTTCGGATTCGTAGGTTCAGTCCGGTTCCGGGTTCAGTCCCCTGTGGAGGCAGAAACAATTGGGCAGAGTTTCTTTCTCCCTGATGCCTCTGTTCACCTAGCAGTAAATAGGTACCTTGGAGTTAGACAGCTGCTACGGGCTGCTTCCTGGGGGGGGGGGGGTATGTAACAAAAAGGAGTCCTGGTCAAAGACCGGGACGCTAAGCCCCGAAATCATATCAAGATAACTTAAGATAACCTCATTTAACAGACCAGTTATAAAGTGGACTTTGTTTTGCTTGTTTTGCAACCTTGTATGTTGGTAAATAGGAAAGATGTTATGTTTGTTGAAGTGCTGGGTATTTTTCTTGGTGTTATTGTCTGTGCTTCTGATAAGCGTACCTCATTATCTGTATCCTGTTTAGCATTTGACCAAGTTGATAGTACAGTTTGGACACTGAGATCCTCATCAACTGATGAAAATCCCATTGTGGATTGCTATATGTGTTTTCCCTTGTATTAGGGTATTTTTTTCATATGCCTGTATGTATAATAATTATACATTATATGTATTGAAGCTAATACTTATATTTTAATTACAGATTGATCAGTCAAAAGAGAAGAGAGAAGGTGAATCAGAGAGTGACTCCCCTAATAAGCAGAAGCGAAGGTGGTTTGTCAGAATACAGAGGTCGAGCAACTGCCATGCTCGCATCCATTTAAAAGTGCAATATAATCCTGTAAATCAAGACTATGATGGGGAAACACAAATGGTTTATTACCCTCAGCACACTCACAATGAAGTAGACCATCCTCAGGACCTTATGAATCGCATCATGGAGAGACATGCTAGAGACAAATCAAACTACCTTTCTAGAAATGGTAACCGCAAACGGTTAAAACAGATTGGTCCACATCTGTCACGGGGGGCAATTAGTAAAGGTAATAATAGTGATGAGGGCTTAGAGGAATTATTAGTTGCAGCAAGTGGGGATAGTGAAGTAACTGGTCAACAAGTAGTGACTGAGGGGACACTGAAACTTGAAAATTCAGCACTGACTGTAGATCAGTATATGAAAGAATTTTGTCAAACCCAACTGGAAGGGGAAGTTGATGGAACATCATTGGTAGTTTCAACCAGTGGATCTACTGGAGCATCGTCTACTGTTCGTCAAGCTGGAAGACAACATGGAGCATCAGCTGTCCTCATGGAAGGAGACGAGACAACTTTGGAAGCGCCCACTATGTTTGTAGACAGTGATAGTCAGTCAGCAGTGTTAGTTGAAAGTGGGGAACCTGGGACATATGTAGTTCAGGATGGAATGGTTAATGTCTCCCAAGGAGAATCTAGCATGAAAGAGGAAGGAACAGAAGAATATGTACTACCTGCAGATGAAGCAGAGTGGACAAAGTTATTTGATGTTCTCCGCCTTAGGTTGATGACTACAGAACTCAATGAACAAGAAAAAGGGGATGGGGAAGGCTTGTTGTCTTATCAAAATGTTATATCATATTTACCATTGGCAGAGCAAGTGAACATATTCCAACAGCTATGCCTATTAACTAATACAGCTATCGAAACAGCGGATTAAACAAGGCCTTATTTCAGCTTTGTTTTTCTAATGGCATATATTTTCATAATTTTTGTTTGAAATGCACAAGTTTTAAATTTAATTGACAAATATGTGGCTTCTTTCTTTCTGAATTAATTACTCCCATTTATACAAATATGAAGCTGAAACAAAAGTAAAACTTTATGTTCATCAGTTTGCATGGTATTTGCCATTGGAATGTACTGGTTGTTACATGGTTTTTATATTTTTGTAAATTCTGTTCATTAGCACAAGCTTTGAACAGTTTAAGTTTTGCACAAATTGTAAATATGCCCAGTAAAAATCATTAAATTTCCATATATAAATATATATATATATATACCTAAATGGCTTTAATAATAGTTGTAATATCCCTGAATTGCTGAGTTGCTATAAAAATGTAAATATCCAATAATATTTTTTTATGCATCATAAATCAAGATTAGGTCATTTAGGTGATTCTGAGGAAATGATCCATTAAAATAATTACTTTCATATGTAAATATTGATTACATGTGCTTTTCAGTAATATTGAACAATTAAAGGCTGTGTTGATATAGGAAAAAAGGCCCTGATGTAAATGTATATTAGGTTCAGTATTACAGATAGTCACAGTGTGTTAGGATGATACAAATTTGTTAAGTAATTTGAGTATTGTTAGTCTCATTTATCAATGAAGTAAGTTTTTTACCTGAAGTTATACAGATCATTTATACATTATCTTATTTGGAACAAGCAAACAAAATTTGATGTAGGACATGCTAGTTACTGATTCCAACCTTTATAGTTATCACACGGACATCCAGAGTTGGTTAATATTTTATTTTTGTTTTTTTGTTTATCACCCAGTGGTTTGACCAAAAGTCCTAGTGAATCAGAGTACCTGATACCTGTGCTCTTGTATTCCAAGTGCTGAGCTTGCTTGGTTGCTTTTGTGTACAGTTGTAAAAGACACCTATTTGCCTGTCAAGTACCTGCTAAAGAAATATTAATAAATCCACTGATTTGTTTAACAATCCTCCTTCAATATAGACATAGTATGCTCGGCGGATTGTGCAGCACAACAAGGAAGATTTTACGCGTCGATGCAATGAAGTCATATTTGTGTTTGGTTTATCACTGAAAACTCCAAAGGTTAATTTCCCCTTTGTTTCCTTAAAGACAATAGTCCCAAGAGCCACACTATAATCCCCTCAAGAGTTTTGCCATGCGTTGAGGGAGTTATTATTTGGGGGGGTTGCCTCTGCCCACCCCTAGGGCATTGTATATATGAAATGAAACAAATATTTCAATATTTGTTTCCGTTCCTGTCATTGGACCATCAGTTGGGTTGCCCATAGGACTAGAGGGAGAAAGGTCTTTGATCCGGTGTGGGAGAATGAGTGATGAAGTAAGACTCCTGTTAAACGATCGGAGCATCACTTGGGATAACCCATTGCTGAAGGTCGCGAATTTGTAATAAAAGGAACCCAGTATTTACTGACGTACGTTTTCAGGGTAATGTATTTTAATACGTGGAATACACTACAATATTTTAAATGTTTATTAATATCACATTATTACTACAAGTTAAATGCGATAACTTCCCAATATTTGCTGCAGAATAATTATACCGAGAGTTAGTAAACTTGTTTCACGGTGCTGGGAATAATGCTAGGGGGGGGGGGAGGTGAGTGAGGCAACATGGCGACGGCTGGGGACGCGCTCCACGTCTCTTACAAACATTCACCATACCACTGAGGCTTCTAAGGCACCATTGTTACATGGCACGCATTCAGATCAAGATGGTCTCAGAGGACCATCCAGAAAGAGTTTCCCTGGACAGTAAAGGAAGCATATTCGAGGCGAGGCGCCGCCACCACCTCCAGGTAAACAGATCATCAGCGTCAGCACCTCCGCTCAACTAAGGTAGGACGAGTTCTCTGTGTTTGAAACGTTCATCACCGCCTTTGATGACAATACATCCCAGGATAGAAGTGTCTGAAAATAGTAGGACACAAAGTATCCTATACCATGGGGTCTGGTAGCTGAGTGGACAGCGCGCAAGACTTAATTCTTTGGCCCGGGTTCGATTCCTGAGCCAAGCAGAAACAAATGGGCAAAGCTTCTTTCACCCTGAATACCCCTGTTACCTAGCGGTAAATAGGTACCTAGAAGTTAGACAGCTGTTACGGGGCTGCTTCCTTGGGGGGGGGGGATAGTAGTTAGTAACAGTTGATTGATAGTTGAGAGGCGGGCCGAAAGAGCAGAGCTCAACCCCCGCAAACACAACTAGGTGAATACCATGCAATTCCAAAGATATAGTCCCGGGGCGCAATGGTAAAACGGCAGGCGCTTCGCGAATAATTTGGCCTGGGTTCGTATTGTAGCGAGTACAAACAATATACTCACTACAGTCTCTCATTAGCTTAATGGTGTAACCAATTAGTGCTAATTAGTTACTCGCTACAGTATCCTGGCCGGAGACGATTGACCAATCCTTAACTGTAGCCTCTGTTCACACAGCACTGAATGGATTTTTAACGATTTAGCAGGTTTATAATCTTAACTTTCCAGGGAAAGTTAAGATTAAGGACCTGCCCGAAACGCTATGCGTGTTAGTGGCTGTACAAGAATGTAAGAACTTGTATATAATCCGACATGTTCTAGACATTAATGCAGACGACATCAAGGCACAACTTCAGGCAGATGACATTCTAATCCTCGGTGTCAAAAAAAAAATGATGCGTAGAATAAACGGACAGGCACAGCCCTACTTACTTTTTTAGAGTACTTGCCCTCGGATCGGGTTTAGATTAACTTCTTCCTCCATAAACTAGACGTGTACATACCACGTCCCACTCAAATGCTTTAGATGTAAAGGATTTAACCATACCTCGAAAGGCTGAACAAAAGACATCAAATGTGGGAAATGCTCTGATTCCTATCACACAAGAATGTGCGTCAGATGTACTCAACTGTTCAAACTGTTCATTAATTTCAAACAATGTCCATCATATATAGCAGCAAAAAAACTACTATTAAGACTCTCCCCACCAACAACATGCAATAGAACAGTGCACTGAAGCAACCTAATTCAGGCCATCATCCACCACTTCCCCTCACTCAACCACAACCTTTGCACGTACCGGATGTCTGTTGTCACTGACCATCCTGCACCCCGAGTCCAATTCTCTCCCACAGGCCTCACTTGAGTCACAACTGATTACAGATCTTTTCGAAACATCTTTTCACTGGCATTGCAAATGCAGCAGAAAGGCACTGGACTGACTCCTAACTAAATTCTTCACACAAGTAACCCATCCCCTTGACTGACTCAACGCAAACAAGGGGACACAGGTGGAAACTGAGTATCAAGGACGTCACAGGGACGTTAGAAAGAATTTTTCAATGTCAAAGTAGTTGACAAATGAAATACATTAAAAAATAATTCATACTTGGAAACTAATCTTCAATTCCATTTCCTGATGACCAAACCACACACACCGGAAGAAGGGACGACGACGTTTCGGACGGACCGAAACGTCTTCGACAATTCATCTTCTGGTATGTGCTTTGGTCATCATATCGTCAGCCGCGTTATTGTGATTCATCGTCTGAATTCGATTTTATTTTAGAGTAATATAGAGTATTAAGCTTGGAGATTACCTCATTCTAATTTATGTGATAAACATCTAAGCATCAGTTACATTTCTTGACATTATAATTGTGAAGGTTTAATGATACAAGTTGGCAAGAGAAAACTTTATTTTGGTTTGTAATTGGTTGGCTGGTGATGAGAAGCTGAGAGTAGATTGACTACCACATATACAGAAATGATACATAAAATATAAAGCTGGAAATTAGGCTGCACATGCTACCAGACGCGCACACAAAAGGTTTAGCAATAATCACAATTTATAGGTCAGTGCATCTGAAGTTTCATAGAATAAAATTTTCCTTTAGTTGGAGATCAAGAGAGCTAACCTAATTACCATAAAGCCTTGGTTCAGTTTTGTGCGGAAATTAAGCAGCTTAGACGACTAATCGTTCTCCCAGCTTGGGAAATATAAATTATATTAAGAATATCTGATAATTTAAACCAGAACTTTATAACAATATAGTCTACTATTGATAAAATTATAATCATTAGCTAGCAACAAATAAATTATAAATTCCATAGGAACAAACTCTTGTATGCAGCAATTAAGGATACACATTAACACTACAGTAATCTCTTATTCAGCTTGCTCAGTGTTTAAACAAAAATCATGACTTGGCTTTAATACAAAAAATAACATTATGGATTAAGTTTTCCACATGAGAAGCAATACATAGAATACTGGTTATCTCCCTCTGAGTGATGAGACTTTCTTAATAATTTTGTCATGTAACATTAAATCTGCTGATATTTTTCATCATCTTTTGCAGACCAGAACACACTCCTGTTACCCTCTTGCAAATCATACACATACGGCACATATACACATACACACGGAACATATACATGTACACATATTTCTTCGTACACACACACATACTCGTGCAGCTTTATGGATGAAGGTTACTTGTGTAAAGGAGGAAATGTAGATGTTTATCTCTCAGAATGTTTGGTAATATGTTTATTGTTTGTGATGTGTGTATATGTATGTATTAACACGATGTACTGAACGGGGTGAGAATAGCTTGAGCTACCTCATCCCTTTGTGTGTATTTTTACCTCAATAAACTTATTTCAATTTCAATTTCAATTATGGATGAACAGATAGTGGAGGTACTGATGTGACGCATTAAAGTTGTAAATACATAATACAATATTAATAATAGTTTCATGATTCCCATCCCCAAGAAAACCAATTGCTCTCTCGTATACACCTACCCAATAGTCAAGCCCACATTCGCCTTCATCCTCAAGCTTACACTTGCCCTCATCCTCAAGCTCACACTTGCCCTCATCCTCAAGCTTACACTTGCCCTCATCCTCACGCTCACACACGCATGCAAACCCTCAAGCCCACACTTGCCCTCGTCCTCAAGCTCACACTTGCCCTCGTTCTAAAGCCCACACTCGCCCTCATCCTCAAGCTTACACTTGCCCTCGCCCTCAAGCCCACACTCACCCTCAAGCCCATACTCGCCCTCAAGTCAGCCCATCCTCCTGTTTAGATAGTATATACAGTAACGATGTGGGCTATCGTACATATATTGACGTAAAAGATAATTAAAAAGTAGAATTCGATAGTATTGCATTTGAACAAACGGAAAAAGTTTTTGTGTAAATGTTGCAAAGAAAACCTAACCTAACGTAACCTTCTTAGGCCAAATACACGCTATCTGAGGCCTAATATAGTACATGTATATGGGAGTATGAGAGAATGAATGCAGTGTGATCATTTCTAGACCAAGCTCTTTAAAGACAAATGCTTATGATGAAATTTGTCCCCCCAGTGATGCTCAGAAGCTAGAGAAATATGTATACCGTAATAAAATATTTGCAGTATATACAGGAGATGTAATCAATAATTCAAAGATCAGAGACGCTCTTGATTTCAAGGTCAACAATGAAATCATTGAAATTTTTGGGCAACACAAATATATCAGAGTAGGTATAAACAGTGACATTGTAAATGGCTTGATGGAATGAATAATGGTATCAATATGAAATATGCTAGACAATTTTGTGCTATTAATACTTCAGTGATTAGTGCTAATACAGCAGCTCCCTTCTTGTATGATAAATGGTTGAGCAAATGTCCAACTCGGGACTAAAAAATACGAGACCACTCTCCTCCTAACCTGACCATAGATGCTCACAATAAAGAATGATAATAAAAGTACTTAACTGGCATCCACACATGAGACGTGTGGGTGAGAGAGGGAGACCAGGACGTCGTCAGCCTAATTACCAAACTAGCAAGCATGAGGGTAAAACTACAGTAATAAAGAAAAACGAGACTTGGAAAGCTAAAGGAAAACGCCTGGAGAAAAACTAAGAACTGGAAGAAAGCTGCCGAAGCGTTA